AGAAAAATAAGGCTTCCAAAAGAAGGGAAAGCAAAGGTCGTACGAGATTGCCATGACGGAAATAACATGGAAGCAGTATTCAGAAGAGTTTAGAGTTACTGCAATTTCATAACGAGGTGACTACATCAAGCCAGACTGTACAGACCGTCTTTCACTGTCGCTATGGGTCATGACAAATTGTCTGAACTTCCTTTCTGGGCTTCTTTGTAATCGGTGCAGCCTCTAAAATGGGGAGACGGGCGTTAGGAACGATTTTGGGCAATCGATTCGCCGCATGCGGCTGTCGCGGACCACTCATTCGCCGTTATTACACCTCTAGCGTTCTTCATACAGCTCAATCGATAGGCGATCTTTATTTTATGCATAATTCTACTATTATACTTTTGTTCTAGTATTTCTTACCCACCGCTGCATCCTGCTACATTCCTTCGCGCGCGACGCCCCTCTCACCCCGACGCGACCATTTTTATTGTATGTGCATCAGCCCAAGAGGAATTCTAGCGGGCCCCTTATAGTTCGCAAAGGAGAGTTCGGCAGTAGTTTGTTTTTTTAGAGGTTTAGGAACTTTGTTTGGAATCACTACAAGGACACTCTATAAGTGCTAGGATGACATAACGGGTTTGTTTTTCGCTTCTTTGTCCCAATAGTAGCCAACCTAACTTCCGTAAATTGGACGCGTGCTTCTTGTGAAGTTCGAATCTGGCCGATTCGCTGCTTCACACTATCGAAACTCGGGTAACGTAATTGGCAATGAAGCCTCCAGAAGGCCAAAGATCAGCCTCGATCTAGGACGAATCATGAAGTCATCGGATCTATCTAACGCAAACGAATGAGTAGTGTCCTTTGATGGTGTTCAGAGAGAAACTTTCGACAAACCCCAGAAAGAGTTTGGACCTTTTCGATATTTTCAAATCGGCAGTCATAAGTTCGGTTTGAAAGAGGTGAAGAGTATTTTTTCAAAAATTCGGTCTCTTGTTCAGGTCCTAAATGGATCTCTACCGTCTGCGGTGAACGGCTACGACCTCCTTGTTCCACTATCTCGTATCTGGGAACCGCAGAATGTGCTGCTATTCCATGTAGGATATCTATGAATTGTTGATGTGAGTTTTTACTGAAACCTCTTTACCATTCATTGAGTGGATTCTTGGAGTATTATCGCAAAAGTGTTTTACACCTGTGCTTCTCATAAATAATTCCTTGATTTCGAGGAACAATTATGCCAAGCAAGGCTGAACACCCGAGTAATTCGGACTCAGAACTCAGTAACCAATACATGATTTCTATTGGATATTGAAGTCCTAGAACAATACATAAAAGCTTAATTTCTGAATTTTCCAACCTTCCTCTGATCGAATCGAGCCCGTAGTCGTTTGATCGTATTGACGGCATTCACGAATTCCTGAAATTGGAATCCTTCTGCAGGTTTTGCCCGCAGCTTGGGAAAAAAGTCTAATTCAATCAAATCCTACGAGATAATTTTAAATTATAGAAAGTTCATAACATACTTCATCGGAAGTCGGCATTGACAGCTGCTTTGAGGGAGGGTTTGAGACGGGGGACTGACGATCGGGAATTGGCCCTCTTTACAGACACACAGTAAGAACCATGAATGCCAAATTACGTGCAATGTGGATCGTGGAGCGTGGACAATTTGGCATCTTGCTGGAAAGTGCGTACCTAAGACGCCTGCCTTCGCCTTGGACCATGGAACTCTGCAGTTTCCTATGAAAGTTTCTTTTTTGATCAGTGTTTACCTAAAAATCAGCGGTAGGAAAAGGAAAGCTTTTCCCAGCGTTTGGGATATACGTCTGGGAAGCAGCATGAAGTGTTAGAACATCTCAATGAGGAAAATTGCTGGGTCTTCTTACCCAATATGAAAGAAGAAACCATACATCACCAGCTCGCAAGTTTCTCACCCAGCCTGGCTCTTAATGATTTTTGCTCTCAGGTTCCGTGTTCGGACCATTGGTATGAAATTGGGAAAAGGAAGATGTAGAAGATTTTCGACTCCGACATTTTTCGGGTACGAATTTTGCCTGGCCCGCTTTAGGACCGAACAATCTTTTAGTCCTTGCCACACTAAGGCATTGAAATTCCTGCGAACGTGGAAGCATCAACTAGCAATAGTAGAAGACAAACTTCTCTCGGGTTATTCATCTGATGACTTCCGTTTCCGGAACAGGCTTTCACATTCGACTTCCATTCAGAATTATTTTCACCTATTGGATGCGTATTTGGCATAAACAATGAATAGTGGTGTCCAAAAGCGCAACTCAGTGTTTTCATCATCCTATATGGAAGCTTTCAACGGACACTACGCAGGGACCGGCCCATGAAGAACGTTAAAAGGATGCGTAGTACCAATCCATTACTAACCAGTTGGACAGTCTGAGTACCTTAAGCCCTCTCCTTCCTCTGGACACAAGAATTTTAAGGTGAATAACTCCGTTTATGTGGGCCCTACAGACCCCTTACCAACCTACTTTATCATCCCGACCAATCGTATGAAACATACAAGTGTGTCAAAGCGAAGTGTGTATATCGTAAGCGAAGAGGCTAGGAACAAAGCAGCCTGCTTTCTACAGCTCCTGATCGGTTCTTATGCTTATCAGTCCTTGACGCAAATCGTATACTGTTCCTTTGACCTTCATCGCCCTTCAAGTGCAGGAGTTCCACTGTCAACACGAGAGGTGGTACTGATACTGGTGTTAGTTGTCATCTACTAATCGTAACTACTTCCGATCACCAACCATCAGTGTTCCTATCCTGCCTCTTGCATANCCTCTGAACGCTTCAGAACCAGAGGGACAGCAGCTATAAAATTCCAGCTAAAAGTACACGTGTAACCTTGCTCTCTTTAATCTGTTTGAAAGGAATATGTATGTTGCGGCGTTGACCAGAAGGGTCCGTACGCCAGGGAAGCTCTGCAGGCCACTAGTCCCATTGTAGGGGCGACGAAATACATACCAGCATGGGAAACCATTCTTCAAGAACCATGAAAGGCACTGTGACAGAGTGTGGGAGTTGGCGACTTCGCGGACGTTTGGTAGCATAAATGGTAATTTTCGGCTCAAACTTATTCTCGTGTGCCTTTCTGGTCGAACTAGGTAAGTCAAGAGTAATTGCTTACCGTGCAACAGTATTTAATCAACTATAAGTAAGGAATTCAGCATAAATTATTTGGAAATATATATATGATGGCGACAGGTTTATTTATTGACTACAAACGTTCTCTTCTGTTAAGTTTTGTGGAAATTACTAGTATGAGTCATTGGTTTAGTAAGCAGATTCCCTAAAAATGAACAGCAAATAGTGAATAACAAACACTGAAGAAAATTCATCAGAAGTAGTCATTCCGTTACTCAAGAAAAATGGGTTGAACAGCCTGACATAGGTGAAGGCGTTCCAAATCAGATCTTTGATTCCATTCCAGGAAAACGTCGTTCGGCTCTTCTTCTGAAAGCTCACAGCTCCATGTGCAATGGCATGTCCCCTAAGGCATGTTCTTCAGTGAAGTCAAAACCACCGATATCTGCTGCTTTCCTATGCCATTCCTGAAATAAAATTAATGTTGTGGCGAACTCAATAGGTTGAATGTTGTATATGAACTCATTGAAACTACTAAAGGCCCTCTGAAAGCAGAATTGGTCCTTGAATGGCCTCGGTGTCAATAAACCCCGTTCCTTGGATGCGCCTTCGTATCCGATTCCCATTCAGAACCATTGTGACGGTTGAAAGCGTAAGCGCTCTTTACAATGATTTCCGATGGTCAGCCGATGCAGAAGTCAGTGTCTTGATCCTCCCAGACGAATCTAGTATCGATTGACGACCGACCCCAAAGGAAGCCTGGGCTGGTAGCGATAAGGGACTTGATTTCGGGACCATGCGTCTGGCAGACTTACAGCGCAGAAATTGCTACTACACCACCTTCGCCTTATCAGCATGCTACAGGTTGTATCGGTCTTTCCTAAACAGATTTGGCCATTTCAGACATTATGAAGTGGTATGGTCAGTACCTGAACATCGTCTTCGACTTCGTGAGGGTCTAATTGGGTCTCTTCTTTGAAGATGGCATCTCGTCTACCTTTCAATTCCAGTTTATCCAGTGCCAAAAGCTAAAAAGACTTATCATAGTTTATTTTTTATGGTTAGGAGAAAAAAATAAAAGAATTAGTTCCTATTGGATCTGTTAGTAAAGATGTACTGAAACTAGAAATTTCACAAGGAATTGTAATAAAGTACTGCCGATGTTGATGAACTTACGAAATTATTCCACAACTGTGTAGAGGCCAGGTGAAACTTCGACTCCCATTCAATAGTTCCGTCAGCCTATAAACAGCCTGTCTTTTCTAGGGCTTCCGATGCTGAATGGTGTTGACATCATATACAAACACAGATTTCGTAAGCAAAATTCTCTATCGAGAAAAAGAAGAAAATATATACGATACAACGTGATGTGTGTGTTGATCGGTTGAGATTAAAATCTATGATGCTAGGAAGAGTAGTACCTTGAGTATGACGTGATAGTCCCGTTTGGTTGATCCCATAGCCGGCCAAGTTGGATTCGTTGGCTCGCAGCTGTTTTTCGTTGGCTGCCTGAACGACATACTGTTCAATATTCTCATGTTGCAGCTTAACCTCTCATTCTCCCACTGTAAGTTAAGGTGATTATAAGGGTTCATTTAGTACCCAATTAATATCTAGTCATGTGCCGCCTAACGACAACACTGCAAAAAGAAAACACGACTTACAATAAGTCAGACTAAACATCAAGTACGGCCCTAGAAGTAAAAAGGCTGAATGTTCACCCTTTTGTAGCGAACCGCGTAAAGTACTGGAACATTTTGTCGCAGAACGGCTTTATGTCGTCCCATCCACCATCTTGTAGACATGAAGTAGGTGGATTGTCAATGCCATATTCGAGAAGATAGACGTCGCTCTGAAGTGAAATGTAGACACGGTTCTGAGAATACTCTCACACTTATAGGCACTAACGAGAGAGACGTGAACTCTTCCTGGGCTCAACAGAAATGCACAAAAGCATAGTTAACATAAAAAAGCGGACAGGTACATATATGAGTGAGAGGGCCAAAGCATATTGTGTGGAGGGTACAGAAGTATGGTCACGACACTTTGATTAACTGCTAATTTGACTATTTTTTGGTCTATTTTCGTTCTCAATCATCCGAGCAGGTAAAAAATCGAAAAACTACGCATCATCAAACATAGAAACACAGTACCTTCTTCTGCTTTAGCTCACTGACGAGCTGCTGAGTGGGTGCGATGAAGTCACGATCAAGCAGAATCTGAATACGAAAAACTGAAACGAACAGACGACCAAATGTTCCGGAATCTATACACTATGCATGTAATCGCTGTAGCTATTTACTACTCGAAGGATTCTTTGATGAAGGATTTTTAGGAGAATTCTTTGGATGAAGGAGTTTTACGGAAAAGTCAAAAGAGAAGATAGGAAACTACTGAGTAAAAGTTAGGAAAAACAGAGCTTATCAAAATTTGAGAAATTAAAAGACTGAAAAAAGTGTATACCTTTCTCATTTGCTCGAACAAGAAGTAGGTGTTCTTTTTATCTCCTTGCGTGTAAATGTATTGATGAAGAATTTGCCGTCGTAGTAATGGAGCGTTTCTGCGAAAACCCATAAGTGTATCAAAGTATCAGCCTCACGAACCAAGAGCTTCATCAGAAGGTGATCCGATGACCCTTGTTTTCACCTTTTTCACCAATGCACCCTTTGTGAAGAGCTAAGCGAGGGANATGTATAGCTCACTGGAATTGTGAGTCAGGTATCAGTCCGGCTAGGAACCGCTTGAAGTTGATATACTGGAACTTTTCGTCGAAATCGCTATCAGAAGGATAATCTGGAATAGTTCTAGAAATTGGTTTTATATCCTTTTGTTTCGAAGTTGAGTGGCAGCTCACCTTTAGGTAGCTGTCTAAAAACTCCAAGAATGGTGGGAATCGCTGGCTGCTCATAAGACGGACATCTGAAGGGAACACCAAACGGATAGAAGGACTTCTGAATTATCAATGAATGAGCAGCTGATTTGAAGAAAAAAGTTTGCCTGGCTTTTTCCATAAGTTCGCTTCATGCCCTTCTGCTTGAGGTTCGCCTAAGCGATATTATTTTGATGGGCAAATTTAGATTGCCTCATTTGATTTAATATTATATCTATCAATCTAGTCTACCCACGATGATAAAATTATTTGAGAGTTCATTAGATTTTGAAAAAACGTCCAAAACTCTGTAAACAACTGCCAACAACTCCGAAAACACTCGAGAACAACAAAGGGCTTTGGGTCTACCTTTCTACAGTTCAGGCAGTACCTAGGCTACACCCCTGTTTCAAGTCACTTCGATTAAACATGCGGTGGAGATGGTGTAGTGGCAAGTGGCACAGTACCATACACGCATTGTCACGGGTTCGAATCTTAGACGGTTATCCGCTGGCCAACCGAATCTCCCATTTCTCCGGGTCTGTTAACGGTACAGACTCGTCTGAGAAGATAAAAGCACTGACTTGAACATCTGCTGGTCACCACAATTCATTGAATAGTTTACATACACATCCAATATGTCACTACGACTTTGAATGGAAGTCAATCGTGGTGGTGCATCCCTCTGAAGGATTGAATAACACCGGAGAAGTTTACCCCTTCCCTTCTAACCAGTTAAACGAATTGTACGGAAACAATTGGGGAACTCATCCAAAATCGTTTCTTCTTAAAATTATTTTTTCAAAATGGGAAAGTTAGCAAACCGAAAGGTGATCAGCTGCTGTGTACAGTTCGGATAGCTGCTTGGACCTCAAGCAGTCCATTGCTTGATTGACTGACGGTAAATCGCACTGAAAACTGTGTTGCTAAATTACAACTCTGTATACTGCTCAAGGACAATACCTGTAACTCTGTGAGGATTTTATGAGCAGCTCTTTTGGAGAACCCTTCTCTTCCAATAGTTCTCGTTCTCGCGTTTCCATTTATGAGAATTGCTCGTTCAACGTCTGAAAATTTGTTTAACCCTCTAAAACATATTCAGGTAACCAAAAAGTAGGTNAAATTACAACTCTGTATACTGCTCAAGGACAATACCTGTAACTCTGTGAGGATTTTATGAGCAGCTCTTTTGGAAAACCCTTCTCTCCCGATAGTTCTCGTTCTCGCGTTTCCATTTATGAGAATTGCTCGTTCCACGTCTGAAAATTTGTTCAACCCTCTAAAACATATTCAGGTAACCAAAAAGTAGGTGATACTGGTTCTTGATAGTGCTGACGCAACCGTTTCGGCAACCAACGACTCTGCCCACACTGTTATCTTTCCGATGTGAAGGGCGTCGGCATTGTCTCTCAAGAACTTCACGACATTAATCACATCACTTACACCATGAGGTATCGCATTGAATGAACCTGAACATATAATAGATATCTTACGACTTGGCCCTGGAAAGGCAGCAAAGAACTGACCAAGCAACAACGATTTTTTTTGAGACAGAGTAAAATTTCTGTAGCAAAAATCTAAATAAATATAAATATAAAACACTGGAAAGAGTAAAAAATTGACTTCAATTCAGAAAACCCATATCTATCAACTGATTTTCAGTTTAGCCATGGTTTACTGATCAGCGCTTCAACTCATTACACTACTACAGTGATTTTCCATAGAACGTAAGCTATCCTTATGAGAACAAATGAATCAAATGAATAACAAATGAATGAGTTTCTGGCAAATTCGCTTGAACTCTGGCCGTATCCTAAAGCCCTGCTCCATAGAACAGGTTCTATGTCGCGACAAACCCAAACTGTCTCCGGGCTGGCTCACTCACCCTATCCTCGCTCTTTGGGCAGAAATAAAAGGGTAAAGGTAGACGAAAATGAGAACCCGTTCATCTTTCCCGTGTCAGGGTTTGCGACAGACCTGCTTCGATTCTCAGCATTTCGAACACTTCTGCTGTTGCAGTAGTGAGTTGACTAGCACACAAAGAAAATGTTAAGCCTTCTGAGCTTAGCTATCATGAGCTACCCTCTACATCATTCTGGACTGCACTTGAAAATTAGATCTAATATTCGTGAAGTAGGTAGAAGGGATGTAGTGGCAAGTGATGCGCTGTCACACACACGGTTCGATGGTCGAATCCCCAGGTATCGATACCTGCCCAGGCAAGCCAAGCCTTCCATCCCTTCGGGCAGCTTCGTTGGTACAGACTCGCCCGTGAGGATAAAAGCACTGATTTGCACATCGGCTGGCCAACGCAAATCATTGTACTATAAGCCATATATGTACGCATTCAAAACGCCTTTACGATTCCCTCACTTTTCTCGATTTCACCCTCATTTACTAGATGATTGCCTCACTTGCTTATGTTTTTGATGAATAAATGATGTAAATTCTCAATGCGGAAACGTATAGGTTCGAATTCTTCTCATTTTCATTTCCAGGTGGTGTTCATTTTAGTATAGAATAGAGTTAATTCCTTGTAAAAAAGATACTTACCCAGTAATCCGCACCTCACACTTGCAGTTACCACATTTAACGATGACGACACCAATCCCGTCAATTTCACCTCACTTAACTTCTCGTTCGAAAATATAAGAAGTGTATCCACCTAAAGTAACCAGCTATTTTTGTGGGCGTATATTAAGAGCCAGGTGTAGTGCAGTTGCACCGGTCCAACTTCACTTCTCTGATAAGAACCCAGAATAAATAGGCTTAACGATTTTTCGATGAACGCGACTACTATCGTAGGCGTAATCCTACTTAACGATTTTTCGATGAACGCGACTACTATCATAGGCATAATCCTACTTTATATAATTCTCCAAGTGTGTTTGTTGGTGTGTCGGTGTGTCGGTGTGTCGGTGTGTCGGTGTGTCGGTGTGTCGGTGTGTCGGTGTGTCGGTGTGTCGGTGTGTCGGTGTGTCGGTGTGTCGGTGTGTCGGTGTGTCGG